CACGCCGCGGCGCCGTGTACCGGACGATCCGCCGTTTTTCATAACACGATCGCCGACGATTGTTCAGGATAACAAACGAATAAAACACTGTGCGTCAAACGATCAAGCGATTTTTCGCGCGGTGTCATATTATTATATTGTCGAGCTGTGCGCCCAACAATAATAATGTTATCGTTGACTGATTTCCCATACAAGCCAATGCGCGTCATACTGTACAGAGTGATCGATAAGACGATTGCACACTCATTATCTCGGGAAGTCTTGATTTTGTTGGGCATTTTTCATTACGGACAATTTTAGAAACCAGCGACTCTAAAATGTTATACTATCGTTACCCAACCTAACCTATTTTACATGATCGTTATTTTTTCTCATTCATATATTAAGTGGCCACTCCACTATCCGCTTTTGATTTTTAAATCTATATTATAAATTCCAGACATAGACGATATAGTTTTAATTTAAATATATTTTGGTGTTGAAATTTTTAATTTCCGTTCGCCCGTTGACGAAATATTCCACTTTTAATATTTTGTGTAGAGGTAGTAGATTACCATAAACTGATAATTAAAAAAATGCCTACATACTTCACACGATGGGTGTGCTACTGTTGAAGGTGAGAAGTTATGAAGGTAGAATATAGAGGGGAATTGAATGTAAGTGACGAATTAATTTTGCTAATGAAAAACGATTCTGAGCGGAGTTCGGGTAAACATGTTTGAAAAGGCCGTAAAATTCACGATTTTAAAACAATACTCTTTTCATACATTTTCCCGCTTTCCTACGTTTTTTCCTGGTTTTCCTCATTTAGTATGAAAACTAAGAAAATCAAAAAATTTCCTCCTTAATAAAGTACCATTCTAGTCAGATTTCCTTTCAGAAAAAGTGCTACACTTGAAAACTGGAGCAACATTTTTGGCAGAAAGTTGTTCACAGATAAAAAAAAATAAACATCTCTGTGAAACCAATACATACCTCGCTCCACTCAGAATCTAAAATATCAACAACAAAATTTATTTAAACTAAAACTTTATTTATGTATGGAATATTTAGTACCGGTTTCTATTTGAAAATCAAACGTGGGTAATGGTTTCACCCTCTCCCCTTAATAAATCAATCTGATAACAACAGTTATTTTAGACTACTACTATCCAAATAGAACGTATTATATACTTTATAAAAATGAATAAGGAGCTTGGACGTTGAGAAAAACAGATTCATTAACTGTATTTGCAAAAAGTACGTATGCACGTAAATACAGGGGAACGGAGAATCTTGACAAATGGGAAATCGTAAGAAATATGTATCAAACGTTGAATATATTGCCATAAGAACCTAATTGGGCAGGGCACGTATGACGCAGATATGAATTACTGTGGAAGTACCACGCAAGGGAAGAGTCCACTGGAATATCCCGAGTTAAAATATGAGAAGATGTAGAGGTTAATGGAAACGTGGACAAAATAAACCTAAGAGAGAATATAAAGGAGCTATAGGGGTTATTGGAAACAGAATATAGGAGACAAAATAATATGCTGGACTGGAATGGTCATAAAAGTGCCGGGGCCTTGGTAGAAAAAAATAATAAAGAAGATACCTAACTTTTCATATCGCCGTGCTTTAATCCTTTTACCCTATAAATTTGGATGGCGGCGGAGGCGCAGTCGTTAAACTCTTTTAAATAATTCAAATATAAAGTTGCCGTTCACGCGGGAATTGGAGACTCCATTAATTATTCTCTGTCTGTCCTGCAATATACGAGCTCGGTATACCGGGTGATTCGCGTGTACAGCACAATAATATTGGAATATTTTTATTTGGTAAGCTGGTTTTTTATATTTTCTGCGCTCGGTGGCTTAAAATATTTTATCAAATTTTAACTAAAAACTTTCGAAAACAACGGGCGGTTGTGATTTAAAAAAAACAATTTTAAAAAAACGGTTTTAATATTTAATGATAAATAACTATAACATAATATGCTTTTAAGTATTTTTTTTTTATGCTCATATAGATAGTCATTTAATTTTTATTTATTAATTGAGTAAATTAAGTACGAAAGGTGGTTTTTATCTAAAAATTAAATTTTATTTATATTATGTTTGACGTTTAAATAATAAATTCTATCAATTAAAAGACAACGCTATGATACTTTCTCGGTATACAATAAATTTAATTTATTTTAATCAGCTCGTTTATCGAACATAATTCATAGTAAAATACTGATAGATAATAATGAACCAATAATAATAATAATAGGTTCCTATTGTATCTATTCTCAATTGAACAGAAATTATTCTGTTATTAGTTTCCCATTTTGGTAGATATGAAATTTTTAACCCAAGTACAGGGGATAGATGATGGTTCAAACTTATATTGAAAACAGATTTTTAATCTCCTTTTTCTACACTGGAGCTCCACGTTAAAATCTTAGACTTTTACCAATATTATCTTTTGAATGTTTAGTCTTTCTGGCTACACGTTTTTTGTTTGCAAGGATCGGGGTTTAGGACTCACAGCACTTGATATTAAAAACAAAGTGCTTAAAAATTGCATTATTAGTCCTAAATAATCTTTAATAAGTACTTATGAGCAACTAAAATATTTTAAAAAGCTCAACGAAACTAGAAAAAATATATTTTTTTTAAATTCGAAATAAGCAAAAAAATCAATTTCATATCTAAACTCATTGTAACATAACATCAATTTCTATAGCACTCTACTAGATTTAATGGCAAGCCAAAACAAAAAAAACAAAAAAAAAAAAAAAATAAAAAAATGCTATAAGTTCCGAACCCCGGTAATAACCTATCGCAGTTACCTTTCTAAAAACATACATCTAAACTTAATTCTACACTTTTTATGATACATACTTTACAATATAAATTTCCATCTATACAACAACAAAATTAACCTTACCCAACCTACCCATATTATGAATTATCTTCGGCTATTCCTCCACTCCCAAAATCTAAGAGCTATATTAAAATAATGTATATTTATGTACGTGGTATGTACATTATAATCATGTTCAGGTGTTGGAAATTGCGTAGCCCTGTGTGTTACTAGATTGGCTGTACATCACACATATAATTTACAAACACCGTATATCTCATAGTGGACCAACTTCGTCGGGGGCGGGATTCGAAAGTATCGGTTATGTTTAAATGAATCAGCGGCCATTTATTTTATATCGGAACGAACGGTGTTTTGTATGCGAATCAACAGCTGCCTCGAAGGTCTCTACTCTATACATATTTGAATGTGTACATGTACACGTGCGTTAGGTCCTCAATATGGCCTTCCTCTCCTCATAAATCATTCGAATCGTTGAATAATAATAGCTCTAGACGCACGTCTATGTAGATCGATTTCGAATTCGTCTGCAGTATCGTAAACATAATCGTTGTATAGCCCGCCGAAGTTATCCTGTGGATTATATGCACTCGGGCAGCGCGTGACACGTCACTTATTTGCAATGGTTTTGGGCGAAATTCCTAAAATTACAAATTTTTCAGTAGTGCATTGATATATTGTAGAGTATATAAATTGGGGTGAATAAGCCAACAAGTCTATAATCCGTCGTTCGGGTAAGTATTTTTTTAATTGAAACTTCAAACAAATGTATTAATTTAATTTGATTTGTTTGACTGTAGATAAAATATCGGATATCAATCGATTTTTTAAAAAACCTTATGCTCGGTCTGACACGGATTCATATTATAATGTACCTATTTGTTTGGTATTTTCAACTAGGCATTTTGTGATAATTTTTCTGATCAAGGTTATACATAGATGAGAAGTCGGGAAGGTAGGATATTGAGGGAAATTTAATTTTTATCTGTACCTAAGCATATTTAAGCATTTTTAAACGATTTTGAGCAGAGTATTGCTCAGAGGCGTCTAGGTCAATTCCATATGGGTGGAAGGGGGGTTGGGGGTGCTGGCGAACAATTTTTACTTTCGAATACCACCGCTTTGGTCAACAAAACTTAAAACCTTTATGTCTGATGTCATTTCAACTTATATTAGTTACGAAGACTGCAGATATATTGTAAAAATGCAGTAAAAACAGTACAATTTAAAAGTTAAATTAATTTTTTTACATAAAATAAATAATAATTTAAATAATGTTAATATGAATAAAAAAAAAAAAAAACAATAATAATTAATAAAATTAAGATGACGAAATCAAAAATACTTTTATTTTAAGCAGCTTTTTGCAAGCGGTTTGATCAACAATATTTTCTATATTAATGTTTTTACTTCGATGAATATTTAAAAGAAAAAGTCAGTTAGCCTCTGTTCAAAATGTATACCACAAAGTACGACTTTTAATGAACCTCATGTGAAATTCTCAAGCATTTGTGTTTGGTCTGACAATTTTATCCTCAGAGTACCCATCAAATAAAAATCATAATACGAAATCCAATTTGAATTCCAATTACAACTTTAAAATTATCAAACCTAACCGGTAAATATAACTAAATAAAGACAGTAAAGAAAAAAAAAACATTAATTTATTAATTTAATATTCACGAGTTATAACACATGTTGCTAAAGAACAAAAAGGTTTCATATCTTTATATTTATGCACGAACAGGTCGTTACTGATAACGCTTGTATTAACGAGTGCGGCCCAACAGGAAGTCAAACGGCCGAAAAATTATACGTTTTGTACAACAGCATGGGTTGATACATGGATACGTCGCCCAAAACAGCACTCCGAACTTTTTCCGTCGACAACAGAACTGTATGTTTATTGGACGACAGCAGTGACGATAAATGATAGGCGACAATGTACGGCGATTTAATGTACATAGTATTTTTTTATAAGACTGTATGCAGATTTCTCCAGGTCATTGTATTTAAGTCCATGAATATACAAATAGAAGATGTTTTTTGAGTAAGCAACACATTTTTTTTCCATACACAAAATAGAATTTTAAAACTGTTTTTTTTTTTTCAATTGCACAGCAATAGTCGTCTTTTGCACAAGTGCACTATCGCTGCTCGCTTATCGCGTTAATTAAAATTAATGAGTAGACGGAGCCGCCGGTCGGCGACGATGCAATAGATCCCGCAGTCCGAGTAGACGTCGATGGATTCAAGTGGACCGCTGCCGTGACGCGTAGCCACACAAACACGGATACAGTTTTGTACGTCCGCATTTTTCGTGACTGGTTATCTCGCATCGTAACTGGTTCGGCGTAGTCGATTCCAACGCCTGCGAATCGGTGGCATTAAGGCACCCATACTTCCGGTGAATCGGCCACAACTGGGATCTGGATTGGATGTGCGGAGACGCACGTAGCGTGTGTAATGGGCAGAAATAGTATTCGGATTTCCAAATGTCGCGGAAAGTAGTTGGCGGGATATGGAGAGATTGGTGGGATTGTGATAGCGGTTTACGATTCTAGTAGGTGGGTTTTTGGTTAAAAAAATTACGACGCTTATTACCGACAACAGTATTCGATGAGGAGGGTTTGCGGAGTGCGGTCATTTCGGAGGGATTAGGTACGTGGTGTAGGGTTCTAGTAGGCGAGATTCGGCTGGCCAAATTGCAATGCATATTAATGGTAGTTGTATTCGGAGTTGAGGGTTCGCGGTGAGATGATACATCAGTGGGATTGGGTACGCGGTTTAAAATTTGAACGGGTGGTTTTTTTTTGGCTAAACCGAGAGGTGTATTGTGAGTATCGATGATCAAAGAGAGAGGTTTGCGAGAGTTTTTGATTACAGGTGGAGTTGGGACGCGTTTTAAAATTTGGCTCTGCGATTTTCCGGTAGCGAAATTTGGTTGAATCTTTTCATTGAAGGCATTCGGGGCGGGTTCGCGTAGGGTAGACATTTGGGAGGGATTGGGTACGCTGCTAATGTTTCTAGTAAGTGGGTTTTGGGTGACCAAGTTGTGATGTATATTAATGCTAACTGTATTCGGAGTTGAAGGTTCAGGGGGAGTTGCGATTTCGATAGGATTGGATTTACGTTTTAAGATTGCGATAGGTGGAATTTCGGTGACGGTATCGTATTGCGTGTTATCGTTGATATTATCGGGAATGGGTTCGTGATAAGTAGCTATATTAGAGGCAAATCGTACGTGTTTTTTGGCTTTTGAACCTGCCGTCGGTGTGTTATCGGTTATGGTATCGGGAAGGGGTTCGCGGGATATAGTGATTTCGGCGGGATTTTTTATGTTATTTATAAATTTGAAAAGTGCATTATCGATGATGATATCGGGTTGCACGTTATCGGTGACGGTATTGGGAAATGGTTCATGGTAAGTGGGTATACAAGGCGAAGATCCTACTTGTTTCTTCGCTTTTAAACAAGCCGTCGGTGTGCGATCGGTGCTGATGTCAGTTCGACAGTCGCCTGCGCCAAGAGTCGTTTTCAGGTTCGGACAGTCGCCGGCTTTTTCCGCGTTAACATATTGAGTTAAAGACGTCACAATGACGTAATTAAGAAACCGTTTTGGTCTGTACTCCGCGACGAATACGTGCATGAACGATTGACCGGTCACAATAACCAGGAGGCGTTCAACCGATCCACCATATGGTACGGAAAAAATCGATTTAACGGTTAACTTGGACGCTGCCATGGGTCGCGACAACACCTTTTTCACCTGCTGCCGGGTCCTGGCTATGACGGCCGCGCAGTCTTCATAGACCGTCTGGTACTCACCGGAATCATCGTAGAATTGATCCGCTTGTTCCGGTGTCGTACGCATCACGGCGTAATAATGTTGCGCAAAAGTGGTACCGAGGAGAGCCGCGTTTCTAGTGATCGTCGTCGGGTCAGCCATCGTAACGGTTCCGGAACTTTTAATGCCGTGTTGCGAACCGACGAAAATAACGAGTGTGTTCAAAAAATATCTGTTTTCTGTTTCACAATCGTGTTTTTTATTTTTCGAATCGTATACTTTAGTAGGTAGAGACTATGATATGAATTTAAAAACAACACGGTTGTCGTTAGTTACTTACGAAAAAAATATTGGCCGTCTTTTTTTTTTTTGTTTTAACAACGTTGCACCGTGGTTTCGATCGTCATTAACAGTGGTGTGCCCGGGAAATTTCTGCGGGAGGGAACGTGGCAACTTAAAATATAAAAACTACTAAAAACTACTTAGGCGTCCGTATTATCGTCGCTGAACTGGCCGCTGGCCGAAATTTACAGAATTATGAATTTCGTATCGCTCCATGGGCTTGAAAAAACCAGTTATAATTAACAATAAAATTAAACAGATAAACTGCTTAGCTCCGTTAGATATTTCAAAACCACTTATTCACATAGAAGACGTATCTCCGTCGACTTTTTTAGATTACGACTTGGATTGGAAAAACGTCGAAACAAACATACGCATCGGGTTTCCTAATAATATTATCTTATCTTGTCAGAAAAATAAAACGAGTTTAAACATTTTTCTTCTTAAAATTGCTTTTCTCCTTTAGTAAATCTTGTGGATAATAAAACGGACATGGAAGGTGATACCAACCCTGTAACCGAATCGAAACCGCCTCCACTACCACTCTCACCACCACCAATTTTCACAACGACTCTGCGTTATTACGTCAATTGTTGTAAGGACTTGGAACTATTAACGAAAACTGAGGTTTTTTATGTAAATTTTCTACGAAAAATATCAAGTTAAACGTTCATTCTGCCAATTCTAAAAAAATTGTATAGAGTTGTTATTAGGGATCTGCATCATACAATCCTCATGGATTTCATTAAGAAAAATTGAGGCAAAAAGGTTCCTGGTAAAAACGGCACGAATATCTTAAAAACACTATATAAAGAACATCTGTCATTATTCTTTGTAGACTTCAACCCTTATTCAAACAATCAAGACATCGTTAAGTAAAAAACCATTTTGTTCACCAAAATCAAAGTAGAAGCCTCACACATCAGATGAGATTTAGTCCAACGCCATCCCTCTCAACAGTATTGCCACACTAAGTCATATTGTAATCATCATCCTAAATGTGTCTGTTGTGGTGAAAACTATAGCTCGGACTCACTCGTGTTCCAAATCTAAAGACTTACCTGGAAAATGTACACTATTTGGCAATGCCCACTCTGTAAACTACATAGGTGTCACGGTTCGTAAGGATATCCAATATCTCCGCAAAAAACAGAAACCGAACACCAACTCAAGAGTAATAGCAAACAATTCGAACACACCTCATATTCCATCCAAATTACACAGAATTTCTTTTCAATAAAAATGTAAAACGAGATATCTCGGGGGCAAAGATACAAATATCCCATCGCTAAACACACTTATAATCAACTTAATAATAAATTAAGGAAATCACTCCTACAACATAGCTCTACCTCTTACCAAAAATACGAGTATATTCAAAACTTTTCAACTCAACGCTTTTCTTTTTGGAAAGTGACAAAAAAAAGAATTTAAAAACCGTTTCATCTTCCTTTTCTCTTCGTAAAAATGATAACACATGGATTGTCTCTGATATAGAAAAAGCAAACATATTTTGCCAACATCTATCCAAAATTATAATTATTAGGCAACCCGTGACACTCATTTACACAAACACGGCACAACGCTCCTGGCTTAACTACGTGTACTTTTCGACACGGCACAAGGCGACCCGTGATTGATACTCATTTACACAACCACGGTACAACACTCCCGGTATAACGTGTTCTTCAAGACCCGGCATAAGGTGACCCGTGACACTCAAACTTATATTAACACAAACAGCATTCCCGGCATAACGTATATAATACTCCCCGGCTTCTGCGACTTCTGTTGATTGCCCTTCCCCCCAATTACGACCTAAATAAATGTATGCAAATTGTGATATAATTATGAATATTTTCCCCAACAAATATTGTAACGTTTTTGTTTCATCTATATAGATTATGTTGTTGGATTGTAAAATTTAAAACAGAGGATATTATTTTAAGTTATACATTGAATAAATAATTTGTTTTTTAATAGCTGGGGCCATTCTTTATATAGTAAATGCATTTAATAAACGGTAGAGTTGAGTATTTTTTAGAAACTATGCTTGTTACTTATTTAAAGGTACTTGAACTTCAAATTAATTGTATGGAATAAAAAAAAACAAATAGTTAATACTGGGGATGGGAGCGGCCACTGTTGTAGGTGAGAAGTTGGGAAGGTAGGATACATAAGGTTACGTTATTTATACTTGTAAGCAATGATAAATCTTTGCTTGACGAAAGACGATTCCGAGCGCATTTCGGTAATACATATTTTTTGTGATTTTCGATTAAATTTGATTTCAAAACGTTTATTAAAAAAATTTTACTAACGATTAAATCATTTTTTTTTAGTAAAAACGTCGGCGGTGTTTTTATAAAATAATGAAATCGTGAAATTTTACGTTTTCCTATGTTTTTTCCTATTTTAGAGCTTTTATTTGAAAAATGGCGTTGAAAATCAAAAAATGACCTCTTTAAAGTACAATCTGAAAAACTTGAGCTTTCATAAAAGGTGCTAAATTTATACATCGGAGTAAGTTTACTAGAAAAAAACGTGTTCACAGACTAGAACAAAGAAAATAAAAAATAAACAGTATTATTATAAAACCCATAGCTCTTTCGCTACGCTTGGAATCTAAAAATATATATTCATGAAAAATGGTAAAAATTTCGATAAAATAACGATTTTAACATATAAGAAACGTGTAACTACTGTAGTTCAGGTAAAAATGTGTATGGAACATGAAATTCTTTATTAAGGTTCCTTAGGGTGTATATTCAAAGTTTCAGTTCATTGTGTAAATTCAATTTGTCGGGCATCAAATCCGTCCACATGCTGACAATTTTTAATAAAACATTTTTCAAAAACGACTACCTTAAATAAAAAATATAAAAAATAATAATAATTAACTTTTGTTATATAGTAAATTAGCGGTGACACTAGGAATAGATTTTGAAAGTAAAGTTAAAAGTATGAGAATGAATACAAAAATGATTTTAAATTGCCGGTCAGAAGATTTAAAAATTTATAAAAAAATATTTAGAAAAAGATAGCAGTAATTTATTTTTAAAAACTTGAAGAGCTTATAAGAAAAAGGATTATAAATATGTTTGAATTAATATAGTCAAAATTTCAGTAAAACTAGAAAATGGAGGGAAAATTCTTCGGATTTACACGAGGTGATCGTAGAACATTCATTAATTCGCAAAATATTGCCTCTTTTTAAAAAAAAAAAATGGTTTTAACAACCTAAGAAACAAGCGGTTCTACAATTTTAATTTTACATTTATGTTATTTTTTGTCACCCTTATTTTTTGTGGATAAAGCTAATACCTATTTTTGATTTACAAATAGCAGCCTATATAAAAAATTCTATAAATAAATTAAGTATTAGGTAAAATAAATTGTGAAATATTTCGTAAACGGGTAATATTCTATCTATGGAATTTTTAACATAGATTCTCATTTGAAAAACCAAAGTTGGTATTACCATACGATACTCCTTAAATGTTTTAAAAATATAAATATTCAAAAATATTAGCTTTAATTAGGAACATTGTTCTCTTGGTTAATATCATAGTATATAGACGGAAAAATATTTTCATTTTGCTCACTTACTTCTGTGTTATCAGCATCATCAAAACCAACTAATTTAAATTCGTATTCTTTTCAGAGGAAAAATCAAACTGTTCATTTTCACCTTCAGAAAAATCTGATAATCCGATTTAATTCAAAGTTGAAATGTATCTCTTTCTCTCAAACGTCTTTTATGCTTAAAAATATAGGTAAAAAATATCAAAAATGTTTAATTTAAAGGGTTTTATCTAATGTTGATAAATAAATTGTACACCGTTATTGCCCGATCTACTCGTAGAAGTAGATGAAATGATTAATTTTATTTGGCCATTATATTAATAATAAAATAAAGATAACTTAATGGTTACAGTTAGTACATTTATATTAACATGTTTACTAATAATATAAAAATTATGTTCAATAGTTTTGGTGGGAAATGTAACCATGAAGAAAAGACTTTATCATTATTATGTTGATTTTTTTTTTTTCAGAAAAAAGTTAAAATAATTTAATTATGCTGAATAATTGATGAATATTATTATTGTTTGATAAATGTTTAAGGATTGTTTTTGTGTATAATTTGGGTTGCTACGATGAAAACTTTATTTATAATAATATTATTGAATTATTGTTTTAAAGTTGCCTACACGTAGGTTAGGACTGAAAGGGTTAAATAAAATTTTAGAATTATTTAAAAAAAAGGAAAGCGGCTGTTAATTTTTCTATAAAATACCTTATTTATTATGTTTTTCATCCGATATTTAGCTAATTTATAGTTATCATGGTCGTTAATGATTGGTTGATCATCGAGAAGGAAGTAATTAAATTGTGGAATAATGTAACATAATAATAATAAATACATAAATAAAAAAACGAAGTCCTAGGATAATGGGTACGGGTGCAGCCACTGTTATAGGTAATTTAATGTATACCTGTAAGTGACGATAAACCATTGCTAACGAAAAAACGATTCTAAGCGCAGTCCAGTAGTTAGTAATGCTTCATCAACAATATGTATGTAATATTATTGTAAAATAATTAAATAGGCTTTATATATTTTCTTTAATAATATTTGTTTTATGTTATATCAATATTCCAATTATTTCTACGTTTTTCACATTTGCTGGGAAAACTTTTGGGAATATTAAAAAATGACCTTCTTAAAGTACCTTCCCAGTTAAGTTTCTTTTCAGAAAACTTGCTATCATCATAAATCGGAGCCAAATTTTTTATAGAATAGTTATTCACAGGAA